CCCACGCACACGCCGGCAGGAAGTGGCCTTAGCCACGGACGGGAGTCACGGGAGGCGAGGGCCTGGCAGAAGGGCCCAGCTCATTAATGCCACCTCCGAGGGTACAGGAGACCACATCAGCAGTAGTATTTTTAGACTGATTGTTAACGTTCACCCTCCTATGCCAGCTCCTGTGGGCTTCGCCGCTGAGTCACTGCTGGAATTTTCTGAAGCCTTGCCCAAGAGGACAAAGGCACCCGAGCCTGGTGGCGGCGGGAGCCTCGCACCGGATGGGGGCCTGCGTGGAGGACGCCGAGCAAGAGCTCAGCTTGGGAGATGAGGCCCAGACACCTAGTCGGGTGCTGCCGCATAACGGGGAATGTCCCGGAGAGACACGGGCGGGAGCTAGGACTCCTGTCTGAGATAGGAGGCCGTGAGCCCTCCCTCCTCCTCCCAACCTTTGGTTCCGGCTGTCTGTCCCACATCACCCCGAAGGCCCAGGTCGGACTGGGAGCACGACACTCAGTCCGGACCCCGGTCCTCAACTCTTCATCCACCCAACTCCGGGCGAGCTCCGAGCCTACCTCCCGCCACTGGCTCTGGATCCCAGGTCCAGGTCCCTGACATTGCCTTCCCCGACCTCGACCCCTGGAGTATTTTCCTTCACAGGGACTGTCCTTGCAGCCACCACCTCACCCAGGAGGGCCCCACTGTCACGCAGCTTCCCAGAAGCCTTCCCCTCCCCACGGACCATCTGTCCGTTCAGCCGATTGGCACACACGGAGGAGGCAAGAGATGGGAGAGACCTTGTGGTGCAGAGATGCAGCGTCTGGCCTGCTACCCATCACTCAGGAAATACTTAACAAAGAGCCATGACCAGGCTCCATGCTACATGCTGGGAATACAGCTGTGGAGGCCAGGGTGGCCCGGGCAGACTGCAGGAGACCCTGGACCCGGATGTCCATGCCACACACGGGAACCCACTTTGGATGCTGCCCGAGGGGCTGTTTGGAAGCACAGCAGCGACAGAAGCGAAACGCAGAGGCTGTCCCTCCCAGCCCCAGCCATCAGCCTGCACCCCCGTGGGAGCAGCCCCGCAGAGCACCCTGGTCAACAGCTGGTAGAGGCCAGGGTGTGCACGGGCCTGTCTCCAAGGAGCCTCCACAGGGAGGGGAAGAGACAGGACAGGCCCTTGGCATTGCTGCCCGGGCACCTGGTCTGCCAGGCTTCTGCACAGGCGTCGCGATGAGCCCTGGTTTCCCAGGTAGACGCTCAGTCACCCACTGCCTGCAGAGCTGTGCCACATGCGGAAGTCACCTGGGGAAGGTACGGGAACGATCCATCGGGCAGCACAGTGGTGAGCTGAGCCCTGCCTGTCACCTGCCCTGGCCTCCGGGGACCTCGGCGAGGCCTTATGTTGCCTCTGGCTCAGGAGCCCCCGAGCTGCCCACGGAGACACCCTAACTGAAGTGCGCGTGGGAACGCAGGTTAGAAGGGCACTGCAGAACCCGGGCTGTATTCTGGCAGCTGTCGCTTTTGGCCCTTGGCAATGCCTGTGGGCCTACATCCTTGTCTCCCCAGCAGGAGCGGCACCAGAACCCATTTCCCAGGGCTGTGGGGCATTCAAGTCAGGTGATGCACTCAGCGCAGGAAGCAGTCGGTAATGCTGGCTGGCCATTGCCACTGCATCCCCATCCCAGGACCCCATTCACAGTGCAACCCTATCTAGAAGGAAGGGACCCCTCTCCTCCCAAAGCGCCACATGCAAACAACAGTGGCCTTGAAGGCACAACACTCAAAAGCAGACTCCACTCAGACACCTACGTGGCAGAAGGCCCCACCCAAGAGAAAGGCCCAGGTGCCCGGCTCAGGCTAAGACCCATCGAAAGCTGTCCCAATGCAAAACCCCAGCGCAGCGACCAAGCTGCGAGTGGCACCCTGTCTCATCTGTCATTTTTAATGGCCACGGGGATTTTTATTCCCTGAGGTTCCCTCTGGTGCCTAACACCGCGCCTGGCACACAGCAAGTGCTCCACGCTGGTCGCATGAACTTAGCCAAGTTTTCCCACAGGAGAGCGCTGCCACCTCCGACCCTGCTGCCCTCACGTGTAAAGCTGCCGCTGCCTGGGACCACACGGCACCCCGCCCAACCCGGGGAGGAGGTCTGTGCGGAGAAAGCGGGGTCCCAGGCTGTCTGCAGGGACAGCTCCAGGCTGCCCAGAGCCGCCGGAGGAAGAGGAGCTGCTGGTCCTCAGGCGGAGGCGTGTGGGCACTGAGGGGGCTGCGTGTTCCCGCACTGCTGGCTGCTGGCAAGGGCGCCGTGCAGCTGGCGGTGGGAGGGCCACAGCCCACGGCAGCAGGCGGCGCCCCGTGTGGGCTTCCCAGGAGGCCGGGAACAGAAAGACACGGCACGGCCATCCCCACCGCTCCACACGCGAGGACAGCACGGGACCAGGGACGGCTGTGTCTCCGCCATCGGGGAGAAAGGCGTGGGCATGCAAACCCTGCCTACAGCCAGACCGCACCCCGGGACCCTCCTCCCCCGTCCCTGGGAACGCAAGGGCCACGCTGCAGTCCCTCCCTGATCCACAAAATCACTCTGTGTATCACCGAGTGCGTGTGGTGGGAGGAGAAGTAAGCCCACTCCCACGGGCCGCTGGGGGTGGGAAAGCTGGGAGTGCAGGCTGCACCCGAGCTATTTTTTATTAAAGAATAGTTGAGCCGAAACCGGTTTGGCTCAGTGGATAGAGCGTCGGCCTGCAGACTGAAGGGTCCCAGGTTCGATTCCGGTCAAGGGCTGCGGGCACATCCCCAGTAGGAGGTGTGCAGGAGGCAGCTGATTGATGTTTCTGTCTCTCATCGATGTTTCTAACTTTCTGTCCCTCTCTCTTCCTCTCTGTAAAAAATCAATAAAATATATTTTTTTAAAAAGAAAGTAGCTGACACGCTATTATGGCAGCTTCAGGTGTACGACGTAGTGATTGGACATTCACATACCTTACGGCAAGTACCTTCTATACCTTAATAAGTCTCATACCCATCTGTCTCCATGCAGTTATTACAATCATATTGACTATCTGCCCTGGGCTGCACATGACATCCCTGTGCCTTACTTGTTTTATAACTGGAAGTTTGTTTCTCCATCACCTTTTCCACCCATGTCCCAGCCCCCCCCCTGCCATCATCAGTGTGTTCTCTGTATCTCTGAGTCTGTTCTGTTTTGTTTTAGAATCTACATATAAGAAGGATCACACGGCATATCTGTCTTTCTCTGTCTGACTTCACTGAGCACAATTCTCTCCGAGTCCATCCCTGTGGCTGCAAATGGCAGGGCTTCACTCTTTTTTTTTTTTTATATTGCTGAGTAATAACCCAGGCTATTTTTTACAGCCCAATTTCAGTCACTTTCAGGCCGAGGTCTCCCAGGCCCACGATGGCCCTCCTTCAGGTCTGGGTGCGGTGGCTACGTTTCAGGGGGACCCTCATAGCAAAGGCAACCCGGAGCCAAGGAAGGGCCACACCCCAACCCGACTCGGTGAAAGCCAGAGCCCCGGTCACCCGCCAGCCACCACAGACAGGTGGCCACTTCCTGGGAGCCCTTCGGTCTTTTGCTCGGATACAGGGGGGCAGAGCACAAGGTCAGCTTTGCGGGCCACCAGGGTCGGCTTCAGAATACCCCACAAAAGCAGCCACCCCGGCCTCCCAGCCAAGATCTGCAAGCACAGAACCCAACGGTGACACCACACTTCCTCCGCCGGCCTTTCTGGAAAACCAGAGCCGGCTGAGGGCCAGGACTTCAAGCAATCCTACCTTGACCCAGAGGCAGCCACTGAAGACTAAGCTCTTCCCCACCCACAACCAAATCAAAAACAAAAAATAAAAACCCAACCCCCAGTCTGATGGGCTTTTACTGAAGTTAAGTGGGCATTATAACGTCAGCAGATGCAGCAGCACCAGGCCCTGCAAAGTATCCTAAGCAAAGAGCTGCACCAAACAGGGTGGCGGCCGGAGGATCAACAAGACGGCACCTGGCTGCCATGGCGGCCAGTGTCGGAGCGGGGGAGGCTGGCAGCTCAGGGACTCCCTGGGCACCAGCAGCCAATGGCTGCCCCCCCTCCACCCTTGCAAAGTAGCTGCTGCCAGTGTTCTTGTGACTGAGGCATACCGTAATTCACAGAAAGCCAAACATGTAGATTTAAGGATGCATGCAGCATTTAAGTTCACGTTTCTTCCTGACCGCTCCAAGACTTGCATCTGGCCAGCCCTCCCCCTGATGCCCCTGGAGGGAAATAAACGGGCAGCGGGAGGGTCTGAGCCGAAGCTGTCCCAAGGGGGGCCGAGAAGCCCCTTCCTCCGGTCCCTGGGGACTCCCTCACAGTGACGGGGCCCTCAAGGGGAGTGGCTCCTCCTGGATCCACTGGGTTACCCTCAACACGAAGGCCTCCCTCCATAGCCCAGGTACCCCACCCTGCTTACCCCGCCGACCCCCGCCCGGGATCAATGCCCTGAACCTATGCGAAGCCAACGCCAATATCCCAGGGCCACTCAGCCTCCCCTGCCGTGACTCAGAGGGAGAGCTCCCTGCTCCTCAAAGGCGCTGAGACACAGAGCCGAGACCTCCAGCCATCAGTCCCGAGGTCCCCTCCCCCGCCCCCAAATGTTTTGCTTCATCATCTCTGAGACAGGCCTGGCCACCAGGGGGGTTTGTCTGGGTCTCCTCCTCTGCATGAGGCTGACACCTCGGGGACCTCTCTCGGGGCCACCCCGGTGCAGGCTGACAACTCCTGGGTGTCTGGCGGGGTCAGTGAGGGGCTGTGCCTGCCGTTATGGGCAACCATCCCCATCCGTCCTGCACGCTCACAGCCAGCGTTCCCAGCCCTCGCAGCACAGCTCCATGTTGTGCGTGTGCGGTGGTGGGGGACGCGGAGGGGAAGGAACAACTGTTGCTGCGGCATCTCCGCTCGCCACCCATGCGCCCCCTCCCCCGCTCCCCGCCCTGCCGACTCATTCCTGGCACTCACCGGAGTGTGTGCTGCTCTGGGCTGAGGAATCTGCGTCCTGGGTGCTCCAGATCCGGTCCCAGCCCGTGAGGCTGAGGGACTGCAGGCCAAGGGACAAGTCATTTGCATCTGGGAGGCCCCGGGGAGAGTCTTGCGCAGAGGTGGGGAAGAGCATCCTGCTTGCGACTGCGTCCTCGGAGTCCGGGAAGTCTGCTTCGGACAGGAGGACAGCAAAACCCCAGAGTTAAGGGCTGTTTGGCCCCCAGGATTATCGCCAATAAATATCAATAATAATAATAGTTTCCCCAGGCTCAAGGGCCAGACATCCACACGGACTGGATGCTGCAGCGGCCGCCTCTGCACTTTTGGGGGCGTCAGAGCAAGAGCAGCGGCCATCCAGCCCCCTCCCCACGCACGCACACCCCTATCCCGTCTGCATTACAGGCAGCATGTGACCAGGCTGCTGATGCTTCCCGCTGCCAGTGACATCAGCCGGCGGGGCGTGCATAGAGAGCGGCACCATCCCTCACGGAACTGAACGGGGAGGAGCGGGAGGGGGGACGGCAGGGAGGAGACTTGCCTCCCAGGGAGAAGGCAGCACAACAGCTACTTGCAGCAGCAGCCGCCGGGCGTGGTGCGGAGCCGCCGGTAAGTGGGGGTCTCCGGCGATGGTGGCCGGTGGCCCTCGGGCAGGACGGAGAGGTCCTCGCCTCCGAAGCTGCTGCGACTGCTGGCTCCTGTGGCGCTGCCCTCCTGCCCGCCCCTCCCGTTTCTTCCCTCCGCTCTCCACCCCTAAACCCAAAAACACTCTAGTCCTGGACTCCCTCCAGCTGCTTGCTCAAGCCCTGGCTTTGCAGCTGAATGCAAAGCGCCGGGATCCTGCTGGCAGAAGCCTGCGTGCCCCTGAAACAGCAGGGCGGCCACCGAGGGAGGGGAGCCTCCAGAGAAACACGGCACACGTGCACCGTGCTCCCAGCACCACCACCTGGTGCTCCAGGCGTGTCCACAGCGGCCGATCACAGGGAAGAGGGTCAGTGTGGGCAGCGGGAGGGGGAATTACCGGGCTGTTGGAGTTATCCCTCAGCCCAGTAAGATCTGCCCTGAGATAATCCGGTCCCGGGTCCCCTCACCCCAAAAGGGTGGGCAATGTCACAAGCACCTATATCTGGCCCAGTGCCTCCCTCATCCCACTAACTGTAGGCCTACGTAGGCTAAACACTCCCGTGTCTGACACACCAGAACACGAGACACAGGCTCAGAAGTGGCCTCACGCCCCACCATGCCCGGTTCGGCACCTCACATCGCCTGCTCTGTGCCATCTGCCAGCTGTGGGCATCACTGAGGCCGCCAGCTGCCTGCATCCCCTCTCCTCAGGGTGCTGTGTCCCCTCTCCTCAGGGTGCTGCGTCCCCTCTCTTCAGGGTGCTGCGTCCCCAATCCTCAGGGTGCTGTATCCCCTCTCCTCAGGGTGCTGCATCCCCTCTCCTCAGGGTACTGCGTCCCCTCTCTTCAGGGTGCTGCGTCCCCAATCCTCAGGGTGCTGTGTCCCCTCTCCTCAGGGTGCTGCTGGGGACCAAGGCTCTACTCCCGTGACCACTCACAGCTCCAGCCACAGAGGCTGGCTCTGCCCAGAGCTTTTAGACCCTCCGCCACCTTGTCCTCGACAGCATCCTCTTGGCATTGGTCTTTTTCCAACCAGACGTGGCAGGCCCACCTGGGACCGCCCGCCTGCCTGCCTGCGACAGGGTCCGAGGTGGGCAGAGACAGGCACGATGCTGCTGGCCACGGGAATGCCGGCCAGCGCTTCCTGGAGCCCACAGGCCCCGGCTCAGCCTCCGGGGGAATGGCCGGTCTGTGCGAGGGACTCCTCCCTGGGAGGGTTTTCTTACAGCTCTGCTGCTGTGTCATCCACCCTGCTGGTCCTGCCTGGCTCCCTGTCTGTGCCTGCGAGGCTGCTGCTGCCCCCACCCAGCCTGTCTGCCCTCCACGGCCACCCTTCCCCCGAGCTGAGGACACGCTTTTAAAACAATCTGTGTGTGTTCATGACAAGACATCATGCTTTCTTCAAAAACGTCCACCTTGAAGGACCCATTCCTCCCTAAGCCGGCTATCTGTCCAGTCCCCCCCTTCGGCCCCAATGGGAAGGCATCTTTGCCCAGAAGCCACTGGCCCGGCTCTCCCTAAAACCAGGGCATCTGTGCACAGGGTGAGCCCACACCCCGGGCGGATGGTCTAATCAGGGACTATTCTCTCGCAGCCCAAAGGCCAGGTGGCGGAGCAGCAGTCCCGGCGTTACATACAGAACCTCAGGCCCCACCTGAGGCCTGTGGAATCCATCCGTGTTCCAACCATTCCAACGTGAAGGAAGTCGGAGCATTGCTGACCTGTACAGCCCACGCCAGCTTCCCCCCGCCGGCTGCCTGCGGGAGGACGCTGGGGACCAATGGCCACGCTCACGCACCCAGGAGCCTGTGGGTCTGAGTTCACACCCCTCGGCCTTCGCTGCGGCAGCCCCACCGCAGACGCCACCTTCATCGAGTCCTTCTCCCTCACCCTGCTTCTTCCACGCAAAGGATGCCTTCACTACAATCCAAATCCTAACATCAAGAGGCCCGGGAAGCTGAAACCGGTGTGGCTCAGTGGATAGAGCGTCAGGCTGCAGACTCAAGGGTCCCAGGTTCGATTCCGGTCAAGGGCATGGACCTTGGTTGCGGACACATCCCCAGTAGGGGGTGTGCAAGAGGCAGCTGATGGATGATTCTCTCTCATCGGTGTTTCTAACTCTCTATCCCTCTCTCTTCCTCTCTGTAAAAAAACCAATCAATAATATATATATATATATATATATATATATATATATATATATATATATATATATTTTTTTTTTTTTTTTTTTAAAGGAGGGGGAGGGCCTGGAAAAACGAACTCACTTTCTAAGTCTGACCGGCCCTGCTCTGCTCCCAGGTCTGCGCTGTGTGAGCTCAGCCGAGTCACTTAGCCTCTCTGGGCATCTTCTCCTCTGCAAAGCAGCCGCCTTTCGGGTATCTCGTGAGAACTGCACAGAGCAGTCGGTACAGGGGCTGGCACAGGTATTTGTATCAGCATCTCCCTTTCGGCAGGGTGACCGTATAATTCACCCCTCGAACCAGAAGATACTCCGGAGAGAGAAGGGAACAAACTCACGGCGGGACAGCACGTCACACAGGACAGTCCTGGGTGGAAGACAGGCTTGAGCGCTCTGCAGCCATCTGTGGTCTGAAACGTTTTACTCAAAAAAACCTCCTTTCTTATGCCCCACTGGTCCTCTTTCCAAACGCGCCCGGTCTGCTCCCCTGGGACGGAGTGTGGGGAGTGAGCTGTCAGCACAGGCTAGCAGGCAGCGCGGTCAAAGGTCTGAGAGCGAAAGGCTGGCTTCACTGAGCAGAAGCCTGGCTTTGCCACTTAAACTCCCATCTGATGCTGAGCAGGAACTCAGCCCTTTTTACTGGAGAATATTCATATATATATTTGACTTTTTTACAGAGAGGAAGAGGAATAGAAAGTTAGAAACATTGATGAGAGAGTAACATTGATCAGCTGCCTCCTGCACACCTCCTACTGGGGATGTGCCCACAACCCAGGTACATGCCCTTGACCGGAATCGAACCCGGGACCCTTGAGTCTGTAGGCTGACGCTCTATCCATTGAGCCAAACCAGTTTTGGCTGGAGAATATTCTTTATCATCTTTTGCCGGGTACCAACGAGACATGCAAAGCTATCTTCAATAACCAGCAGTCTAATCTGAACAATCCATTGCCTTATTAACAAGGCCATCCATCTGAACAATGTCTCACCTTGAATGCCATCTCCTGTAAGGATCTTTTATTAACACCTGCACTAAGTTTGTGATTTAAGTTCTTAATCTGGTGAGCTGGGGACTCTGGCTCCGGGGCTCAGAGTGACCACCTGCGTCCTCGGCATAAGACCCTGCCTGCCCTCAGATGATCCCTGCTGCCAGCGAACTCAGCACACGTTTGGCTCAGGGTCCCCTGCAACCATCATTCTTGAGCTCCTGATAAAGAGGGGAAGCAGACAAGAGTACGGTGCCTGTGAGGACAGACTCCATTTCAAAGACAGGTGGTGACCGCACAAAGTCAGGAGGAGCCGGGAGAACTGAGATGTGTCCCAAGCTGGTCGTAGGGAACGAGAGAGACGTGGTAAGCCAGGGGTGTCTGAGCCAGCCAAGCCGGGAAGCGTCGAGGCTGGAATGTCAAACTGATGCCCGGGCAGGCAGCGAGGAAGCTCTGTAAACTCTCGGACAGGAAATCCAGTGGTGGAGGCCCACGGGGAAGCAGAGATCAGAGCAGGGAGGCCAGGGAGGAGAGGCAGAGGCACAGCTGGACGCTGCCCTTAGGCTGTGGTGTTCACTGGGTGAAAGTTCTGTGTGCTGATGGACAATGTTGATAAAAAACAGAAAAAATGCAGCTACTGTGTGAGAGGAACAGGCTCTAATAGATTTATTTACCTCTAGTGACTGCACAAACATTTTAACAATACAAAATAAAACATGTCCTCTGCCTTTTTTTTTTTTTTTACCTTTTTATATTTTAAACACACGCACTGTTATAGTTTGTACAGCAAATGCACTTGAGCTCTTTTACAAAATCTCAACCTCACCCCAAATTCCAGTCCCTGGGGACGGCAGAGATAGGACACGGGCCATGCGTCCCCATTTAGATTCGTTCCAACGCCTGACTTTACAATCAGCACTGACTAATTAAAGTTCTAACAAGTCCATAAAGTAGCATTTCTAAGACTATTTCTAAAAAGATTGTTTAAAAGACCCCTTCCCCCACCCCCACCCCCAAAATCAAGAAAACCCAAAGATGATTTTGAAAATCCGTTTGGCAACTGAAAGAGCGGACACACAGGAAGCTGGACACTAGTCCGGGTCTCCCAGCTGCCATGCACGTGGCCCCCAATGCCAGGAAGCTGCATGTTCCCAGACTACCATGGGCACTCGGAGGACATGGGAGCCTCTTTAGAGCACTGATTCTCATGCAGTGGATCTCGGTCAGGCCCCGGAGTCTGCATTTCTAACAAACGCTGCGTGACGTCGACGCGACTGGTCTGCTGATCACACTTGGAGCAGCGGGAGTTTGAGACGGTTTTTCTACCCCCCACTCTCTCTTCCAGGTGATTCATCCCATTCTCACCCAGGCTCTTTCTTCACC